AGAAAGAAAGAGGTCACTCCCAGGAAATATTTCTTTCTTTAAAATGCATTATCTTGTAAAGTCAGTATCATGGACACAATGCTGAATATATTCAATTTAAAAATAATTAGCTCAGTTCCCAATTAAACGGAACACTCTAAGAATAATCAAAACACTCAACGTGCTACCAAATGTCAGCCATCCAGAAAATGCTCTTTTGTTCCTACATACATTTGCAGCGAAACTTGCCTGCAAACAACTCGTGGAGGACTCATGCGCAACAAGGAAGGAAGAGTCAAAGCAGGAGGAAGGGGAAGCCAAATTAACGTGTTTGTTGTGTGTTTGTTTCATGTTGGCAATTATGAAATCCCCACTGCATTTTTTTTTTTAACTGGCACCAAGCAGCCCAGATTCAAAGCTTAATGGAGGCAGTTCTTAACTTTGCTTTGTCTGATAGCTCCAAACTTGACAGTGCTAATCCCCCAATCCATTGATTGAGCAACGCATAAATAAACTCCAAACCCAACTTAGATATATAAATTAAAAGAGAAGCATTGCGCTACCATTTGGCCATACCATCGACGTATTTTTTGTTATAGATGCTAAAAAAAAAATAATGTTTGGAAAACCTTGTGTGAACCAGTGAGAATTAATGCATTAAAATTCCCTGGGGGGTGATCAGATTTAGGTATGCACACAGTGCGCCCATGTTCCTCTGCTTTTTAATGATGTATGCCTCCTTCTGTGGCCTGCCCAGCAGATATGTTTAGTTCCATCTGTTGGTTCCATCAAATTCAATTTGTGAAGATTTTTGTGTTTGAAGTCAAGCCAGTGTGTGTCCTTTTCTGTGGTCTGCCTTCAAAATATATATATATATATCTTTTTCCCCACACTCTTTTTCTGATTTCTCTTTCTCCGTTGGTTTTGGATTGCTTGTTGGAGGATGATAAGTGGGTAGAACTTAATTATGATCATGTGTGGGAGACAGAAAGAGAAAAAGAGGCACTGGCATTTTCTTAAGCACAAGGGGGAATCATATCTGAGCAACCAGCAGCAGAAAAAAAACATATGGAATGCCCGCTGGAACGACGTTAGCTAGAAATATTTGAATTGCAAAGGAGTCTTTTGGATAGAAAGAGACAAATGGATTTGAAAGACAAAGGTCACTCAAGTCCACATTCTGGACAGACAGGACCACTGGCTTGAAAGAGAGGTCAAAGAGGCCAACTATATTAAAATTAACAAATTAACAAGAGTTGGAAAGGGACCTTGTAGGTCATCTAGTGACTGGGTGGGCATGGCTTGGTGGTCATGTTATTGGCTGGGCGTGGCCAATTCAATATCACTCACATCGAGGCATGCATATCTCCTCGCCTGGCCTCTCATGACTGTGGGGATGCTGCAACAGTCGTAAGTGTGAAAAAGGGTCATAAGTCACTTTTTTCAGTGCCATTGTAACTTTGAATGGTCACTCCACACAAGCAAAGTACCAGCAAAGGAAGGGAAAAAAACTCCAGAGAAGTTCCTGAGACAGGAAGTCTAGTCCTGCCAAGAATGTAATAAGGGTTAACGGAGGGGCTGTTTCTGTAAGCAACACCAGAATGTTTCCTTCCTGCCTTCCTTACAGGATTAGGCCAGTAATTTCTTCTAACAACCAGTTCTCTGAGCTGCTTAGAATGTTAACAACTGGTTCTAGCGAATAAGTGCGAACCTGTAGGATCCCACCCCTGGGTATTAATGATGGACACATGCACCTCAACGCACAAAAGGTTTAACTGCATGTCTTACAGAACAGCATCAAGCATTTATGTTCTCTAGTATGTATGTTCAAAGCAGCCTCAAGCATGAGGCTGTCAATGGAGAGGGAGGGATACAATACCACCTCTCTCTTGTTTGCAACACAGACCTTTCAGCAGAACCCATTGGTACTATTTGAGTGACCCTGAGGGCCCAGATAAACCTCCAAGTGGCCTCAAACGACTCTCTGAAAGAGTACTAATGACCAGAGGATTGCAAGCAATATGAATCCTCCACCATTCAGTCAGAACCTGAAGAAGCTTCTCGAATGAGAAGTGAAACCTCTTCAAGGAAAAACAAAGACAGTCCAGTTGCCTTTTGGTAAAGCACCTTTTTGGGGCTTTTGAATGGAAGATGCCTTACCCCAAGCCAATTGTTAGGTTGAAGTCTTCCCACTGTTGCGTTTATTTATTTACTTTTAATTCCACAAATGTGGTTCTGAGCTGCTGAACAGGATTTAACACTGATGACTCTCATGGGTGCAAATGACCAAACCTTAGTTTATCCCAGCTTAGACCTCACTCTAACGGTAATAGCTAAGCATCTTTGTCTAACAGTTATGGTTTAAAAAGAAAAAGAAAAGATAATTATATTGTTGTTAATTTGGGGTGAAATTGGTTTTTTTCCCTCTATTTTTTTTTAAAAAAAATATGATTGTTTTAGCCCTTCAGCTACAGCTTTCATGCAGTTTCTAATTCTAAGCAGCTGGTTTGGGGCCGTTTATTGCGGAGGGGGAGGGAGTGATGGATCAAAGGTGCAAGTAAATCGTTCACCAGCTCTGTTTGCTGCTGGGAGAATCCATTTTGCACCTCCAGGCCAAGCTGAAAGGCAGTAAATTGCAGAGATTTGGTGCAGATCTCATTTCAAAGTCACTGTCTGAACCTGCTTCTTTTCAGCTGGATTCTGTCCATAAAAATGATGGATAGATGCCCTGTGGCACAGATGGAGGAGGGGTGGAAAGAGAAAGAGGCACGTGAGCAGAATTGAATGAAAGGCCGTCATTACAACCTCACTACTGGAGTAGATGACCTCAAGGTCCCTTCCAGCTTCTATTCTGTTCTATTTCTTTGTCTATTCTATTTCTATTCTCTTTCATCCTCTTCCATTCCATTCTACTCTGTTTCTATATTCTATTCTATTCTCTTTCTGAATTTTATTCTATTCTATTCTATTTCTATTCTATTTCATTCTCTTCCATTCCATTCTACTCTATTTCTATATTCTATTCTCTTTCTGAATTTTATTCTATTCTATTTCTATTCTATTTCTATTCTATTTCATTCTCTTCCATTCCATTCTACTCTTTCTATATTCTATTCTCTTTCTGAATTTTATTCTATTCTATTCTATTCTATTCTATTCTATTCTATTCTATTCTATTTCTATTCTATTTCTATTCTATTTCTATTCTATTTCTATTCTATTTCTATTCTATTTCTATTCTTTCATTCTCTTCCATTCCATTCTACTCTATTTCTATATTCTATTCTATTCTCTTTCTGAATTTTATTCTATTCTATTCTATTTCGATTCTATTTCAATTCTCTTTCATTATCTTCCATTCTATTCTATTTCTATATTATATTCTATTCTCTTTCTGAACTCAACTCCACTCTACTCTACTCTACTCTACTCTACTCTACTCTACTCTACTCTACTCTACTCTACTCTACTCTACTCTCCATTCCATTCCATTCCATTCCATTCCATTCCATTCCATTCCATTCCATTCTATTCTATTCTATTCTATTCTATTCTATTCTATTCTATTCTATTCTAAAATCTCTCCTATTATTCTCTTCTCTTCTAAATTCTCTTTTCTAAATTCTCTACTCTACTCTATTCTATTCTAGTCTACCCTACCCTACCCTACCCTACACTACACTATTCTCCTCCTCTCTTCTCCTCTCCTCCTAGCACAGTTTCTGGGTGGATCCTTTTGGATTGCGTGAAGGGTGATAGAGCAGTCGAACACGGCTTCCCAACCTCTCAGAGAAATAGATTTCTCCAAGAGGTTTACTGGGAGTGACACAGTCCTCGACTTACGATGCCAGTTGGGGCCAGAATTTCCACTGTTAAGCCAATGGGTTGTCAAGGGAATTGCATCGGATTGTACAACCCTTCCTGCCGTGGGGGTTAAGAGAATCCCTACCGTTGTTAGTTAGGCAAATCATGTAGTCCTTAAGTGAATCCGGCTTCTCTCATTGACTTTGCTTGCTTGAAGCCCGCTGGGACAGTCGCAAAGGGTGACCACATGACAGTGCAACCATCGGAAATACATGCTGGTTGCTAATGGTTGGAATTTTCTTCTAAGTGTCTTTCCAAGTGTGAAAAGAAAAGGACATTGGTGATCATCTCTAGCCATGTCCATTTTTGATTCTGGAATGATGATATAAATAGCATGCCCTAAAGTCAGGTCAAAACCTGTCTTTTTAAAAAAATAAATACATTTTATTGAGTACATCTTAAAATTTAACCTGGATGGATCCTGTTTTCTCCCCACACAGTACAAGCAAGTCGAACAATACATGTCTTTCCACAAACTTCCAGCTGAGATGCGCCAGAGAATCCACGACTACTATGAACATCGGTACCAGGGCAAAATGTTTGACGAGGAGAGCATCTTGGGAGAACTAAGTGAGCCCCTGAAAGAGGTGAGCGGTATAAAGACAAAGGAAGCACAAAGTCAAAGGTACCGATAGAATATTTGTAGCTCAGGGTTGAATTCTGGGCTCCTTGGTGCTCTCTGAGCTTGGTGGTTTTCTTGAGGACGTTTCATGACCCAACTAGGTAACATGATCAGTGCTAAAGGGGGCACAGTTTATGGAATGGAGAAGGAGGAGGAGGAGGAGATCTGTGGGCTCTTTGGTGCTCTCTGGCCTTGGTGGTTTTTTTGAAGACGTTTCATGACCCAACTAGGTAACATCATCAATGCTAGAAGAGAGTGGGTTTTGTGGAGTGGAAGAAGAGGACTGTGGGGTCCTTGGTGCTCTCTGAGGTTGGTGGGTTTTTTGCAGAAGTTTCATGATCCAACTAGGTAACATCATCAGTACTAAAGGGGGCATAGTTTATGGAAAGGAGGAGGAGGAGGAGGAGGAGGAGGTGGAGGTGGTGGTGGTGGTGGTGGTGGTGGAGGAGGAGGAGGAGGAGGAGGAGGAGATCATCTGTGGGGTCCTTGGTGCTTCTTGAGCTTGCTGGTTTTCTTGAAGACATTTCATGACCCAACTAGGTAACATCATCAG